GCACAACTTCCGTTCCAGCCAGATCAAATTGTGTACACAGTCACCTACTGAATAGTATACTAACCACCTACTGTACCTTGATTTTATACTTAACATATTGACTTTGTTTTACCTGATTGTTTTACAGTACAGTATTGCTGAATCTGGACTCCTTGGGAGACCAGTACTTATGTATTGAAAGATTTCCAGAATAAACAAAGACTTGAATTTGAATATTCACAATATCTTAAAGAAAATTATTAACTACGGTATGTCGGTATGGTAAAAAATAGAGCTTTGCGAGACATGAGCAGTGGAGACTCTAGGATATAATTAATAGGGGGGCTAAGATGTCCGACTGGGGTGGGGGGAGGGTTAAGTATTTATGGGTGTAACTATAGCGCGCAGCGTTATCTGAGGGCCGAAGACCGGGGGTTGGCTATGGGAGGGGGTGCCCCTACTCCCAAAATGAGATATTTGTGAAAAAAAATGGGACTCCTAGATGGCTTGAAATGGCTGGGATGGTAAAACTAGGCCTATTTTTGTCCGACTGCCCGACGAGCTTTGGCCGATGGGTGGAGGGCTTGACAGACCGATGGGGGCCATTACCAGACCGATAGGGGCTTAATCCCCCTGTCCCCCCCCCCCACGATGGCACCGCCACTGCCTATACATCCGTAAATTATCACTGGAGTATTGCGATTGACTGCAGTAAATGGACCAGAGATTTTTTTTCCGTGGGTGGGGGTGGTCAAGAATAAGGATTGCAATTAGATTTAATTAATTACATTTATTATACAAAAAAACTTATATAATATAAAAATAATATAAAGAACATATAATATAAATAAATAAATAAAATATATAATATATAGGCCTATTACCAGTTTTTCTGTTAATTTCAATAAACAATTTTTTAAAGTGTATTTCATTCTTAATTTTAATTCCTGTTTATATTTAACAACCCGAATTTATAATTTTAACATTAAAATCATGTTTTCTGTATAACTGTATATCTGGAGATAAGATTTTTCTGTCAGTTCAAAACATAACATTAAATAAGTGAAATGAAATAAACAAAGTACAATATAGGCCTAATTGATATTTTGAGAACGAAACACTAAAATCGATAACGAGAAAGTTAGCAAATCAAGATTTGTAGACCCTATACTGTACTACAGAACCTAGAACTAGACTATTGTTTAAATCGAACGGTGAAAATTGTTCTCGAATTTCGCCAGGTTATTTTAATGAGGAAACCAGACAGGAAGTAAGAAATATCGCATATCGCAGTCGCAAAGAAAAATTCAACTTGACGTAACATGCATGTGACGACGTTAGGAGAGGCTATGTCGTTCGAGCTTGAAAAATTCAACTTGTCGTAAGAATCGTTACCGGCTTATTTTGTCTGCGGCCCAGCACGACCAAGACGCGGCTGTTTTTGTCCAACTTCTCGTAACAGTCGTAAGGATCGTAAGAATCGTAAGAAATTCTTAATTTTACGTCGACAGGAAACCAGGCTTACGGAAGTTGAACTTACGACGTTGAACTCCATCCAGAGTCCAAAACGAGCGCTTGCGACTGTTACGTTGAGTTGAATTTTTCTTGCGATACGACGACATAAAAATTACGTAATTTGTAGTCACTTACAATTGGCTGCCTTTCCCACTAATCCGTCCTTGTTACCCAGGGTTTTCGCGCGAATGTAGGCCTCTACCTCTTTATATTATGAGCTGCACTGTAAATGTAAACATTAACATTAAACTGTAAACGTCTAACCAAGGTCTAACATTAACTCAACATAGATTATTGTAAAGAAGTTGGCCTACATTATTAAAATACAAAAAGGCCTATTTGATGTTTGTAAAATTCATTTTGTTTCACAAAATAATGATGCTTCGATCATTCCCTGAACATTCGTGTTTCATACATTTTAATTCTGGGAAACTGAATTAATTGGCCACGGCCTCGAGGTGCTTGTCACCCAATCTCTTTTGAGAGAATAAAGATTAGGACCAAAAAAAATCGGTACTCGGGAAAGTTGGATTGGTGGTAAACTTTAGCCCTAATTGACAAAATAGATATAAAACGGTCCTCCCTCCTGCTGTATAAATGGCCCCCTTGGTTTGTGATAAAATTTTTTATTTTCATTTTTGCTACTCTAATTCTCATTGAAATTTCGCAACGACCAACTAATATTTGGTGCAGTATTATATTATTATACCATCATTGTCGTCATTACCATAATCAAACGGTGCTGCTGAGCTAGTGCTACTAATCCACTGGCATGTAGGCCTATTTGTGTGTAACTGATACATTGTACAACCCCGGGTTTTAAGAACACTCATGGGACTGCTGAAATTGCTTTCAAAAATAAGAAAAAATTGAGGTAAAATTTCAAATGCGATAATTATGTTCTTTTTTTTAATCTAGAAAAAATATTTTAGTCTTATTTTTACATAGGCACAGTAGGTGTGACAACGATGATATTCTTTGTAATACAGTACAGTATATTTGCTGTGTAATTTTGTCGACAGCCAGCTTAGATAGGCATTAATAAACATTTTGAGCTTGATTTAAATTGGCCGAAAAGTAAGAACACTTAACCTCGGCAAAATTGCTCTGGTTCTTATAAAAAAGGTGTAGACCTATGAGTGTATTATGTTATTATACGTTTATTGAAGCATGGAATACTGTTTCCTAATTATTACTTGCACAATTTAAAATATATTATTTCTCCCGATTAAACCTATAGGCCTAACTATTTAAAAAAAAATCATACAACCACTGGACTGGAAATAGGAATGGTTGACAACAGATTTATTTCTAAACAATTCGCTTGGTATACGATTGTAATTGAAACAAATCCTTGTTTATTTTCGAATTCAATTTCAGTATAGTAATGATAATAATAATAATAATAACAAACACAATTGTATAGGCTACTGCGTGGATGTGTGGCGTATTGGTAGACTACTCAAAGAAGCAAGAAACACAGAATTTTCATAGGGCCTATATTTTTTTCTACTGTAGAACAATACTGACCAGTTTCAGCCACGTCAAAACATGGTACGTCATAAAGGCTACGTCATAATTCCCGTATCTGATTGGCTGCTTCTTACGATTTCTGGTCCATAATGCTACGTCTCTTACGAAAGTTGACTTGGAGTCAACTTTCGTAAGAGACGTAACACAAGGCAAGGCAAGCATGATCACTCAAGCATTTTCCTGTCAAATCGTGGAAAATCGACGTATCGCATGAAAATTCAATACGACGGTTTCCTGTCCAACATTGCTTTGCGACGATTTAACCTTACGTTACGTCGATTTCACAACGCACCAGTCGTAATCGGTTTCCTGTCAAATCGCATTTTGTTACGATAAAACGACGTAGTCGTAAGTAAATCTGCCTTCTTACGTCGACAGGAAACCAGGCTTTAGAGCAAATAGAAATATGCATGTTCCGATTAAATTATTTTTATTTTACATAAATGATATTTATCGAGTATCTCCTTTTTTAGTTATATCTTATTTGCAGATGACACTTCTAACATGCTCCGGTAAAAACTTAAAACAACTATGTGATTTAGTAAGTATGGAGTTAAATAAATTGTCCACATGATTTGCGGTCAATAAACTTTCTTTAAATATTAAGAAGAGTAATTATATGATTTTTTATTCTAAAAATGTAATTAATGAAACGAATATAACTATAAATAGTGTTGAACTTGAACGGGTCAACAGTACAAAATTTCTTGGCGTGCAAATAGACTGTAAATTAAACTGGAAGAGTCATGTTAAATTAATACAAACAAAAATTGCCAAAAACATTGGTATAATTTATAAATTAAAACACCTGTTAGAAAGCAAAGTATTATTTACCTTATATAACTCATTATTGTTGCCTTATATGACCTATTGTTGTGAAGTGTGGGGTAACACTTATAAATCAACGTTAGAATTTTTATTTCTCTTGCAAAAAAAAGTCAGAACAGTTGCAAAGGCAGATTTCTTATGCCACACCAAACCTATTTTTTACTCGTTTGAAACTTTAAATATTTTCGATCTCATTGAATTGAACACTGCTGTTATTATGTATAAAGCACATAAGAAATTGCTTCCACCAATTATCCAGGAGTACCGTACTTTAGGCCACTCACGGAAATGCATAATTATGCTACCCGACAGCGGGAACATTTCAATTTTTGTATTAATTATAGGAGAACTACACTAAAATCAATGTGCTTGACAAATAAAGGGGGTAGTCTATGGAATAGTCTACCTAGCAGTTAAAAGATTGTAGGAATACTATTTTATTAACAAAAATATACAAAAAGAATCTATTAGGTAAATATAATTTAGATTTATAGCGGAAATCTGTGTTTTGCTATAATTTATAATGTTATTCTGAGTATTTTTATATACCGTATTGCCCAAAAAATGTCATTTTCACTTTAACAACAATAAATTTACGTATGTGTGTGTGGGTGTATGTATGTAGGCCCATGTATGTATGTATGTATGGGTGTATGTATGTATGTATGTATGTATGTATGTACGTACGTATGTGTGTGCGTATGGGTGTATGTATGTATATGTGTGTATGGTATGTAAATGTTTATATATATGTATGAGTATATAGGTATATCTATATAGGTATATATATGTATAACGATTTAACAGTTTAATTTATTATTAAAACTTAGCTGTTATTAGAAAGAAGACATTATAGTTATAGGAATTCAGATTAACTTATTATTTACAAATGTTCTCTTATATTATTTTAGATTGTAGACACTGTACTTATTTTATTGCTTAATCATCTATAAATATAAAGAAACTAAAAGTAATTAAGATGTTGTTATTAATGAATACAAAATATAATTTACAGAAAAGAAATAGAATTGTTCTAATAAATTTTAAACTTCTTTTATT